TTCCTGCTTCTCTGATGCTGCCTGGCCTGCTGTGTTCCTCCAGCTCCACACTGTGCTGTCTTCGACTCCAGAATCTGCAGTTCTTGCTATCTCTGAATAATTTGAATAAGGATCTCTGGACCGGAGACGTTAACTCTGCTTTCTTTCCACAGATGCTGCCAGACCTGCTGAGTTTGTCCAAGCAATTTATGTTTTTGTTTCAGATTTCCAGCATCCACAGTTCTTTGCTTTTCACTCTCCAATTTCTTTTTAAACAAAAACTACTTTCTAGAAGATACAAAACATTAGATTTTTTGTTGCTCTGATTTGAGATAGCAAGATAAAATGGAATGTCTGCTGTCAGTTGTTAACAGAAGTTTCTTCTTTAAGCCAATTACATAAAGTATCAGTCATAGGAAATGTTTCCAGCGTGATAAAAAAAAGTGATTTCTAAGTATGTGAAAGGGACAATGCTGCTTGACCAGAAAGTGATATTTTCCACCATATATTTTAATCTATTAGCCAAGCCCAGTGCAATGTAGATAGAATTTGTTTCTATTTATTTGTATTCATTTAATAGGCAGCTATTGCTACGTGGTACTCATTTAAATGGATTAGATCCATTTAAAGCTGTGCCACATACATATTCATGGGAACAAATGGTCTCACTTTGAGTAAATTAAAAAAATGCCACACTTAATGCTCAAACAGGAGAAACAAAAGAATGTTGTTGTCATTGTTAACGAGTGCCTCAATTTACTGTTCAATGGGGCAGATAAATGGATTTAGGAGCTAATAATCATGCCTGTCATTCAAGGCTGGTGCGTGGAGTCCCATGGGTAGAGGAGGGCCCATGGGATGAAAGGGTTGATATGGTGTTTGATGGGATGATGGGTATCCAAACTAATGGAAGATAAAAGGATTAGAAATAGTTACAAGGATGATTGTGGATTAAAAGGCTGTTTCATTGTACCTTTTGTTTACAGTTCTGTTTGCTCGCTCCTTTTAGTGCAGTAAACGGTATTTCCCTTGTTGCACTTGTGCTTTTGAATGCAAATTAAGACCACACATTTTATATTTAACTTGTTCTTAATAGCCTTCTAATACACCTGTTTAGTTAGAGGTAAAGTTAATCACATATGGTTTAGTTTAACTGCATTGCTTTCTAGAACTGATGAGGCTTGTTGTGTCACACTCGTAGTGTACCTGTCTCTGAGCCAGTAGACCCAGATTCAAGCCCCACCTGTTCCTGAGGTGTATAGTACCATCTCTAAACTGGTTGATCCAAAAACATATCTAGAACAAATAACCAATAATTTCCACTGTAAACCACCACTTTGTTATTTGTTTTTATAATCATCTGCTATGATCTTTTAATTTTGTACAGATTAAAAAAAGTAAACTGCAGAAGCTGTAAATTAGGTACAAAACCTTAAGCACTGGAAATGCACAGAGGATCAGTCAGCATCTGAAAGGAGAAAATAACAGTTTGACATTTTAGATTGATGGCCGTTGTCTCTTCACCTCTAATTGAAAACATCTTTTGCTCAGCTGGCAACTGATTTGATGTGTTATCTAACATATTCCATTTTTATTAAGTACTTGGATAAATCCATTTTCCATGGGTAATTGGACCGAATAAGTATATATTATAGAAATCCTTTTTAATTATATTAGCTTTTTTATAGATCTATTAAAGAGCAAGTACAGATACAATGGTCTCTTGTATTATATCATTCCATGTTTGTTTTCAGCCAAGAATTTGAATAGCTGACTACTCCTAAGTTGGTTTACAGCTCTGTAATTGATTGTATAAGAACACAAGAAATAGGAGCAGGAGTGGTCCATTCAGCCTATTAAGCCTGCTCCACCATTCAACAAGATCATCGTGATCTTGGGCTTCAATGTCACTTTCCTGCCCACTCCCCATATCACTCAGTTCCCTGAGAGACATTTCTGCTATAATTGTGTTCAGTCATGGAGACTCCACAACCCTATATAACAGATAAATGTAAGGATTCACAACATTTCAAGTGATGAAAGTTCTCCTCATTTTCTTCCAAAATGATCAGCCCCTTATCCTGAGACTGTACCTTGCGTTTTAGTTTCACTGGTCAGTAGAAACAATCTCTCAACATCTATCCTCTCAAACCCCTCCAGAATTTTGTATATCTCAATGAGATTGCCTGTTATTGTTTGAAACTCCACAGATTATAGGCCCATTTTCAATTACAGAGAAAGTCCTTCTCTTTTGTTTTCTCATTTCAGTGTATTAATTGTTGGAGGTTATTTTAGTATAACCTGCAATTTGTACTAGATACATTGACACAAACACCGAGAAATGCCAAACCAACAAGTGAACGTGAGGTCTCCCCAGTTGAATTTAAGCAAGTAATGTGAGACCATATATTCCCACAAAGTTTCAATAAAAATAGAGATATTGGAAATATTCGGCACACCTGGCAGCATCTATGGAGACTGAGACAGTTGCCATTTCAAGTCTGTGATTTTTCCATCAAAATGCTTCATTGTGCTTTCAACCTGAAATATATCAAACATTGCATAATTTGAAGAAGAGACAACACAGTGTGGAGCTGGAGGAACACAGCAGGCCAGGTAGCATCAGAGGAGCAGGAAATTTGACGTTTTGCGTCAGGACACTTCTTCAGTCCTGACCCGAAACGTCAACTTTCCTGCTCCTCAGATGCTGCCTGGCCTGCTGTGTTCCTCCAGCTCCACACTGTGTTGTCTTTGACTCCAGCATCTGCAGTTCTTGCTATCTCTGAATAACTTGAAGTAAGGTGCAGTATTGCTGTAATCAATTAAAGTAAATATCTTAACTTCATGCGTGATCTTAGAAATGTGGGCAAAGCATAAGCTGTTCTTTCAGCACTTGGAGTAAAATTCTCAGAAACACAATAATGCAGGTGAGCTTTGCATTTTTACCAGCCAGTTTCCTTGTTTCATCAGGAAAGAAACCAAAAGAAAACAAAGTGAAACTCTTGGGAAATATTTTATATACCTGTTTCACTGCGTCTGTTTTCTGCTGCAAAAAGATTCTGCACTGTACACTAACTCAGAAATAACACGACACCAGATTATAGTTCAATAGGTTTATTTGGAAACATAAACAAATAAACCTGTTGGACTATAACCTGGTGTCATGTCCACCCAGTCCAACACCAGCACTTCCACATCATATACACAAAGCTGATATGGTTTAATTTTGATATCAAAGGGAAAGCTAAATTGGGAAAAAAGTTTGTAGAATACTTTCCTTCAAGAGTTCTACAATCCTTCTGTTCTGGCGTTATGCTCATACCCAATTACCATCTTCTCACCATTAGTGGCTGTGTCTTTGGTTCTCCAAACCCTGAACTCTAGAGTTTCCTCTTTAAGTCACTCTGTCACTGTATTTTCTCTTTTCTTTCCTGCTTTATGATGGCCATTAAACTGTCCTTTTTATAAACTTTAATTTATCTATCTGGATATATCTATGCATGAAATTTAATACTCTCCCTTGAGATAGGTAGGTGGTAGGGAATTTAAGATGTGCCACCTTCCCAGTTTTGACCCAAGTTTGGTACAGGAAGATGCAGTGAAGGAGACCCTTAATTATGTGATTAATGCCCACTTCAGAACCTCATTCTCCCACTGTTGTATATAACCAGCATTAGGCAGGGGAGTCAATATGAAGGAAACACAAAGAGAACACCCTTTTGGATTTGCTAGTGGGCTCTTGGGATGGGTTATATGTTTAAAGGCACTCAGGGTTGGTGGGAGGGAAGAAGGTTGTGGAGGCTGTGAGCCATACATTGCCTTTCTTGCCATGCCTCTATCCTCAATGATCCTCATCCTATCATTACTCACCTTTGGCTGGGGGATCCTTGGGTGATCCTGGGCTTCTTGTAGATCTAATCCCAGCAGCTCCCACTGCTTCTACTAGTGCTACCTGCATTGTTCAGAGGCTGGAGCTCTCAGGGTGTGGCTCTTCTACCCCCAGACTCGTAGACCCGGGAAGGCCTGCTGCTGTCCACTAATTCATTGGCCTAGTCATTGGAGGTGATACAGTGCTCTCCAACATGTGGGTGAGACTCCCCTTCCCCTGCATTAAGTATCACCTGATATGTTATGAAGGTCAAATTCTTTTTCATTACATTCCTGTGGATTGGCTCAGGAGGAATTTCTATAATAAAGATGCTTTGTAAAGTTTTTGAGTTGCAAGTCAAAGCTGAAATGCTACTCATCCTTACCAGCCTAAGAAACTAGACAGTTTTCTGGATTCTTCGCCAATGGGCAAGAAAAATTCCAGCCTGACCTCAAAATATATTTGTGCACAAAAGTTAAGTTAAAATCTTTGCTTCTGACTCATAAACCTCATCCTTTTACCTACAAATCCATTAATCAATTGTGATGGATTTTTGCATGATTTTAACTTAAAACACCTCGTTATCTTTTTCCCTCAGGTTTATGTCCGAATATCTGAAGCTTTGAGTCTAACCGATGAAACACGTGTTCTTGAAACATTTGTGGCAAAAGTGTGAGTATGTTTCAAATGAATTATTTCCCTACATTGTAAGGTAATGAATGGTGTGGGTGCAAGCAAACTATTCACTTCATGACAATTGTAAATACAATGTTTTTTCTTTTGAGATGAGTTAACCTACTTAATTCACTGCATCCTCAAGTTGTTCATTAATTATTACAGTGTCTTTTTTTGTTTTGTTCTTATGCCATTTCCAAATCACCTAAACATTCCTTAAGTATTTGTAAACCTCTTTAAATAATATTTCTCTCCTGAGAACTTCCTGCTGTATCACCACAAACAGACATTTTACTTTATTGATGAACTGCATGTCATTATTATACATATCATGAATATCATGGATCAACCTCTTGGGGTCTCCCGTAGTTTCAGCTCTCTAATTGAGGTATCTGTTGCTAAACATTCTTGTGAGGAACCTTATCAAATGCTTCATAAAAGTCATGGCAAAAATTGTTTACTACTTCCTAAGTTAGTTAGGTGCACAGTGATATATATCAAAAGGGTTGGGAGCAAGCAGTCCTTGATATCCCACCCAACTCCCATTCCTACTGGAATGAATTGGATTGTTGTAATCTCTGTGGCTTGCCTTGCACCACTGTTTCTGTCATTACTCTATAGCAAGTGTGCTGGAATAATCCTGCTGGCATTCATTCTTTTCTAGAACCTCTAAGCTGTGAGACTCCTTACTGCTACCTCCCACCCCCAAGCTATCACTCAGCTTAATGCAACACATGCACAACTCTCCTCCACCTCCTACAGTTTCAATATTGAAGCTCAAAATGAACTTACCTCATGATTTATTGCTCCTGATCTCTCTGGCACCTTGCTCTTTGACTCATCTTTAGCCTTTGTCAGTTCTTTATTAAATGGTATCACTAAGGTCCAGATGTGTTAATGGGTCTTTCTGTGCTCTCTTTGGGTTTGATTGAGAAACTGACACATTAAAAATTGGTAACAGTCCCTGCTGCTTAAATAATTGTATATCTAGGATGATGTGATGCTGTTATTTCTGGGAATCAGTACCTTTATTAGATGCATTAATGTCAATATAGTGCATGCAATAACAAATTTAACACTGGTAATGCCAGACGATGAATATTTCAGAATTATTCTTTATGACTATAATGACACAACCAGTGTATGCTGTGCTAATGTAATTTGTGTACAACTAAACTCTGAAATGATTAAAAAGACATTAAACCATGTTTTCATTAAATGTTAGGTGCAACATTATGTGCAAATTGTTTTCTCAGAGATTCCATTGCAGAAAAAATGAAACTCTTAAATAAACAAAGCAGAAGAGCTTGATACCTCAAAAACTTGGCTCTACAACTTTATCTATATCACTTTAAAAGCTAAAAAATATCTGGACCATTAAGACCACAAGAGTAGTTGTTAGTCCATTTCCTTTCAATTAAGTTATATTAGGTTATGTTCCCCCAGTGGCCCCAATGATAATAGCAAACAGCATTGTGCAATTGAGCTGTACAGAATGTCCCAGGTTTGAATTTGTGCTTGTCAAGTTAGCTATTTGCCACCTGAATGACAGTAGGAGTGCCAGAATTGGCCTCACCAGACCAGTGAAAGTTGGACATCAGACAGCAATTCCAATGGTTATCACAATCCACTGATACCAAGTGGATTGAAGCATCTGTGTTACACTACACAGCTGACTAGCCTGTTGGGACTTAGGAGTAAAAACTGGTAAAAACTGGTAGCAGGAGGGAACCAACATCTAGCACAAGTAAGCATTTTCAGTAAGAGGGAGATTAGCAAAACGGATACTCATCTTAGAGTCTTTCTCAAGGAGAATTTTCTTTAGATACTTATTACATTTTCCTCCTCAACATTAACATTTCTCATAAATCAACAAGGCTAATGTATCTTTTTGAGACCAATATATTTACAGCAACAAGTATTTTATCACTATATGTGGATCAGTCACAAGAATGGGAAGCTTTGGTATAAGCCAATGTGAACAAATTATTTGTTGTATAACATTATTAAAGTTCTAAAATGCTTTGGCTGTTTCAATGCCCTCTGATGTGCAGTTTAACCCATGCGTTTTCTGATCAAAATCTTCCACTGACATTTAGTTGGAGACTTTATGTCTGTAGTGAACAGTGACCTGTACTGGAATAAGCTCCATTATAAGTGCTTTCACACCACAGCAGTGCAGTCAATGAGTTTCAGCATACTCCGTCATAGAATCCTGGGGCCATTTAAGTAATTTTCATTTTGTGTAGTAATCCCTTACTAATGCTGCTGTGTCTCAGTACAATGATCCCACGCTGTAGGTGGGTGAGTAGATCCACCCCATTCACTAATGTCAGTCACTGGGAAGGCATAGTTGAAAGAAAAGGGGCTTTCTGTGCAGTAGCCAGAGTGAATGTGGAAAGTACACTCAGGTTGTCAGAAAATTTGGCATTTGCACATCAGAATATTTTCCAATCAACCTGTTCAGAGAAGTTGTTACACACCTCTGGAACAGGTGAAACTTGAACCTAGACCTCTTGGCTCAGAGTTAGGGACACCACCACTGCACCACAAGAGTCCAAGATTTGCACATAGAAGCTGATGTATAAATGCACTGTAGCACCTATGGAAACATGAGATAAGGTAACATACAATAATGTAAGCATGAACCCTTTGGAACATATTTGAAGATGAGGTTGCAGGCATGTTCTCTGACTGCTGAAATGTAGCCTTGTCTAATATTGCATTAAGGAACTGTCTACGGTAATTTAAATGTATGAAGCCAGTATGTGGATGTCTGCTTACAAAGTGAGAAATGTTAAATATGAATGTATTTGTGGAATATTTTGATCATGTGCTGTATCTATTCCAAACAGGAAATGAAGAAAGAGTTTTTGTAAAGAAGGAGAATAAGCAGATAGCCATTCTGCTTGTTGCTCTCTCAGTTTGTTGACAGTTTTCAGAATTAGATGTTTTCACAGGATCTAGTAATGAACATCCCTTTTCTTACAGTGTCAACAATCTAAAATGCTGGGGGAGAAGTGAGCTTGTAATTTCCAGAACACTGCAGTTTCTTAATGACCTATCTGTTGGATATCCTTTGCATTGATGTCATGGTGCAGCTGCAGTAGAAAAGGTTAGAGTAACGTGCACTTTGAAAACAATTTACATGGTTCTGCATGAACAAAAACTGCTCACTTGGCAAAGACCTCTCTTTCTACTCCGTCCTCCTCTCTGCTAGTGTCAAGTCTAAAGGAAACCTACAGTTTTACATATATTCCTTTTGAATCTCTGGAAGAAAAAGACACAAGGGGTAAAGTAATTGATGAAGTGGATCATAAAAAGTCTTAGTCACGTCTTGCTCCATTTTTTGAAATCAGATGTGGGTATTGCTGACTAGGATGTTCAGTTAATAAATGTGGAGATTAAATCTGATCTCAGTTTTGATCCCTTCAGAAAATTCCTTTAGGTGGTCTGACTGGTTGCAAGCTGCTCAGGGTTATTTAAGAAAGACTGGGATATTTTGACCTGTAATTCCCTCTTTCTTGCATTGTAGTATATTAAACTCCTTCAATGGATTCATGTCCTGCCGTAATGTTGGACTGATTTGATTGCTTTTCAGCTTATTTTTTTCCACAAAATGAAAATCTCTCTACCTGGGTCTCCCAAGCACATTAGAGGGACAAGTTTGTTTCCTTGCAAACCAGAGCAACAAGCATTGAAATCAAGATAAAATGCCAGCAGTGCATTACATTGGTAGTATTTTATTAAGTATCTGTGATTTAGCAAACTATATCGAAAGTATATCAGCAGTAAGAATTGTTAGAAATGGAAAATGGACACTCATTCAAGTCATAGCATCTGGCTTAAAAGACCAACCCTCATCTTTTTCACATATTCCTACATTTGTGACTGTAATTGTTTATAGGGAAGTTTTGACTTGTGTGGTAATGTTATTGGCCTAGTAACTCAAAGGCTAATACTCTGAACACATGATTTCAAATCCAGTCATAACACCTCGCAACGCCAGGGACCCAGGTTCGATTCCACTCCTGGGCGACTGTCTGTGTGGAGTTTGCACATTCTCTACAAATTATTGGAATTTAAGTTTGGTTAATAAATCTGGAATGTAAATCTTGTCTCAATAATGACCCCTTTAAGAAAGGAAATCTGCATCTTTACCTGGCCTGGCTTCCATGTGATTCAAGAATTACACCAATGTGGTTGACTTCTAATTGCCCTCAGTGTCTGAGTAAGACACTCAATTCAAAAGCTATGACAAACAGCAACAACTGTCAGTGTTGCCAGCAGCACCCATTTCCCACAAAAGAATAAGATAATTCATCTGTATCCATTAGCCTTGGGATGCATTTCTTCAATTCTCATAAGTTTGTAGTTAGCTATACTCAATTCTATGGCTGTTGAGAATTGAGGCTGGACTGGCTAATTTGTTATGTATAAGAGTAAAGACGAGTGGGAGATTAATATTTCATTTGTGTCCTTTCATCGGAAGTTAATTTTTCTGGCAGAGGTTCTGAAGAAACATCTTTCCTTCCATAACTAGTGGAATTCTGTAATTTCATAATAAACTATAAGAACAATATAAACTGGAAAATCTCAGCAAGTCAGACAGCATCTGTGAGAGAAACAGAGTTAGCATTTCACGTTGATGATTTTTCTTTAGAACTCTCTTCTTCAGGATTTCTTTTATTTTTATTTCAGACTTCCTGCACCTGCAATATTTTACTTTCATAGTTTTTAATATTTTCTGGATTTTAATTTTCAACGTCTAGAGTGCCTGGGTTATGTTTTTAGGCGCAATCAGAAATATAGCAAGTTATCTGATCCGCTTGGACCTCAGGAACTTTACATTCTGATGTTAGCTGAGGATATTTAGGTTTTCATTTTTTCTGAACATTACTGGCAATTTTGAGAACAAAAATAGAAAGAATTAACTTTTGGAGCTAGGTTCGTCAATTGTTTACCATTCAAGAAAGAGGTTACCTGTTTATCTCTTAACATCTGAGTCACTAGCCAATGTGTTACCACTCATCCAAACTGACAACTGTTAGGTTTTGGACGAGTGCGCTTCTAATGTTTATAAATGTCTAATCAAGCTTGACTCAGGCCTCTGGTGGTTGCAAACAATAGTGTATCAGTCAAGTTATATGGTTCGATTAGAAAGCAAAAGCAATTTCTATAGATATAAAAACTAAACATATATATATCAGCAAAACGTAAATGACGTGAAACAAGTTTTTTGTTTCTAATGCCGTATTGTTATTAAAGTTAAGTTTTAAACCTTTTGCCCCCCCGAGGCAGGCAGTGAAAGCTCCAGAAAGTAATACCCACCCACTTTTATACTGGAATTTAATATGCAACTTTTTATTGGAAAATAATCGCACTTGTCTGCCAAAATCCACCGTGCAATATTTCTGTTTGTATGGGTAATGCAATAAAGGCATGGGGTGCTATTTATCACTGCAAATTCTGAGGTTTTCAGGATTCTTTTTATTATTTTAATATATTTCCAAGGTATTAAATCAAAAAAATGATGAATTACACTTGTCTTTGCTGTGTGGCCATTTTCACCCCAAATACAATACACATCCCAATTTTTGTGGTTATTTTGACTGTTTATGATATGTCTGTTATTTTTCTCTGCAAAATATTGTGAGTGATCTTGAAATAATATTGCCAAAGTAATTTCCATCACTGTTTTCAGAAGTGGTGCACCAGCGAGATGTGCTTTCCAGCTTTCTCAGACATCTGTATTGTACCAATGAGCTTTTTACTGGGAGAGGATGAACGGAAAAAGGTGCAAATACTTTTCTCAAAGTTTTTACTTGTTAATTTTGTGTAGATTGGATGAAGATGGTTTGCGACAATGAATGGAACACTTTATACATCAGGTACCCTTGCTCATTAGGTCACCTACTGGACAGTTTGAATTATAGAGAGATGCAGAACAGTGAGAGTCTATTTCCATGGTGTGCGCATATCATGAAATGCAAAATGAAGATACTTTTGCATGAATCCATCAAACGATCCCCAGGGATTTTATAACCCAAGTTAGATATAGAGAAAAGTTTCCTCTGCAGTGTCTCATAAAACACTGCCTGAGAAAATGTAACGTAGGTAGGTAGGTACAGAGTAAATCTCCTATTAGTCTGTTCCATTGAGCTGGCTTATACCTTGAGGGTGGGCAACACATGCATTAGTATAAATGTCAAGGACAAGCTGGCCTTCACTTAGCCCTTTGCTAGCAGGAGGTGAAACCTCTGTCTCTCTTCTGTAGGAAATCTTGCCTCATAGAGCGGCCAGCTGATCAGAGGTCAGCAGCTCTGCATACTGACTATGTGAGCAGGAGCAGTGGCCATTGCCTTTGCTGCAGGCAGGCCAAGGAGGTGAGTGAGAGCAATCAACAAAGACCTGCAGGTAAGTCCAATATCTTGCTGGGGTCGGGCCAACAATAGGGAGAAGCCTCTAATAAGCATCAGGAACCCAGTAAGAGACACCCCATTGCCATCCCACCTCACTTTCACAGATCAGCTCCCATACAGTTAAACCTGCTGAACTCTACTTTGAGCACTGGCATCTTTGTTGCCTGTTAAATCAGAGCAGTACTTACAGGCCTCATTACAGATCAACTATAATTTCTGTTCTCTGCTCCTTGTGACCTTTGACCTTGAAGCAGTATGAACAGGAAGTAAGTTGAAACCAGAGTCATTTGGCCAGACAGAAAGGAGCATTGTAAAACAAAGGAGAGCTAAAAGCAAAGAAGAGCTTGAGACAGTATGCAGACAGCACATATATGCAGAAGGAGAAAGCAGACAGAGAATTGGGCAGAATCGCATAGGGGTCTGAGCGATGTGAGGTATTGTGAAATTTGTTGCAAATCGACAAGCCCAACTAGGCAGCAGGGAATTGCCAATTAAGGGGAATTGTGGCTTATTAATCTCATTAAATTAATATTCAACTTCCTGTCTTATCATTAATTAGACATTGAGAAAACTGGACATGGAAATCAGAGTGGGTGAATACAGCTTGCCGCTGCTCTCAGGAGTTCCATGTTGGACATTGAGCACCATCAAATCAATAAACATTCTATGGGCACCAATCACAAATGCCCCTTGTCCACTGCATTTGTTATGCACCAGCCTCGAAGAACCCTCACGACACTTGTGCAGTCCATTGACAGGATGTTTCAATGCTGCACCAGCAACAATCATTGTAATGCTGCTGCAAGGACAAAGTGCTGAGGAGAACACAACCAGCTCAGGGACTGGACAAACTGTATCTCTGGGCTGTTTGCTTGTTGTCTTAGTACTCACTCTCTCTGAACTTACCTGGGTGCACACAGAATCCCTTCCATCCATTACCTTGCCTTATCTTGGCCCTTCAGCCCAAGTTACCAGGCTCATATTACCTCTTTCTTGCTGTACCATTTAGTGTAGTCACAGAGGAAGAAAGCTTTCAATGGTTGTCAGTAGGCTCATCAAGGGAAATAGCTTTCAGTCAGGGAGTCCAGGCATAGAAAGCTTCCACTAACAGTCCATGAGCTTTGACATGATCCATCAGCCACTCAGCGCAATCAGAGTTAGAATGTTTTCGAACTAACAGAAGAAGAACAAAATGTCAGGCAGCCACGATCCACCTTGGATCTTTTTCCCCCCCTATTGGAAGCTGTTTTCCTTCTGTCATGACAGAATGGCAAGTATTACAGGTGATTGAAGCAGGAAGGTACCCCAAGTGAGTGATTAGGCAGCACAGAGAGTATGCAGGCTTAGTGGTGCTAGGGTCAGAATGGGCAACAGCAAGTGACAGAAGATATTGCAGGCAGTAGTGAGAGTGGTAGAGCATGGGTCTCAGTGGGAGATTGGTCTAATAGCAGACATACAGTGCGTGTTAAATATCAAAGAGAAGATGATGGCACTTATGGTGAATAGAGAAGGACGTTGACCTTTTTCGTAGAGTAATAGGCATTCTTCCACATGGCTAAGACTGATTTAACCTGGATAGCAACCTCAGACCAAATTAGCATAGTCTAGTGTTGTAGCCTCCACTGCTGGTCCTAGGGGAAGAAGAAGTCTCACTTCTATGCCACCCCATCCAGCAGCTCCTGCTGCTTAGAAGGGTGCCATTATCCCCCTGTCTGCCTTTTGTGGGAAATATTTTGGAAAGCATGCAGGGCAGTTGTGGATTGACAGTGCTTGACCAAGTGCACCACAGACTTTTGGAGATGTCGCAGGCACAGGGGATGCCAGGCAATATCTGCTGAGTGGTAAATTGTTTTGGTGATGCCACATGTTAAGATGGGGTCAGAATCAAATATGACAGACACCATAGAGGCAAGCTAGATAGTTATTGAGTTGAGTTTGCTAAGTTATGGCAAGAAATCTCACAAAGCCTCACGACAAAATCCCTCCAAAAAACCTGATGCAGCTTGCACTTAGCCAAACAAAGGTTAGATTCAGCCCAGAAACAGAAACACAGAGAATTCACGTGAAGGGTAGAAGCAGATCACTCTCAGGGAGAAGTCAGTTTTTCTACTTGAAAGAAAAAGAGACAGGAACTCTTAAAGGTACTGTGCAAGCTGGCTAATAAAGTTTTAAACGCTAGAAAGTTATTTGAATAGTTCAGATGTGCTTTAGAGCTGGTTGATTCCCCAGAAGATGCCGAATCATAAACTGGAGCGTTATTGGACAATTGAAAAGGAGCCCTGGAAAGCTGCACCATCAGCACTGTTGTGATCCCAAGGAGCAAAGCTTCGTCAAAGAATTTCTTACTTTGGAGGTGTGAAAGCTGTTGTTGTTAGGACTCCTGACCTCAATAAAAAAAACATGTCATGGAACTGTGTAGCTATGTAATGGCATAGTTAATGGAAATGCTTATGGATGTATCTTTATTGCGTAAATTTAAGTAAAATTTACCTTTTAATTTGAACTGTCATCCATATTGTATTTATATTGGTTCTGTTTAGTGTTAAAGGTATAAAAAGTAAAACAATGTTGTTAATTTCTACATATGGGAGCCATTCAGTAAATTTGGTATCTTAGTTTACCCATGGGGGCATAGCAATACAGAGTAGTCCTCCTCGAGCACTGTCACACAAAGCACTCCAGGGTGGATATACCATTGGCTAGATACAGTGCAAAGCATTCATTACACTGATCCATTCAACACTGCAGGATGGTTTAAGTGTGTATAACTTACAGTGTAAAGCTGTCTCTACACTACACTATTAATTATATACAGGACAGGTGCAGCATGGCCTGGATACATAGTAAAGTTCTTGCAATTCTTGCAAGGCAGACACAGAAAACTCTCCCATGCAGTATGATAACGATATACCTTATTGAAGTTCAAAAGTGTAACCCAACTGCACCAGTGAGGCTTTGTTCCATTTCCTACTAGTTCGAGAAAGGAGAGAAGCATATTAAATGATCCTTCATATTTTTTTCAAAACTGCGACCATTCCTTTGTCAGCAGAATCATAATTTGGGATGAGGATTATAAGTAGCTAATTTCTTACCTCATTTGGCAGGAATTGTGTTTTTGTTTGTTTAAACATACTGAGAATTATAAAATCTATCAAAAATAATGCATACGCCAGGCATAGACAGCTGGGATCGAGCGAATCCCTAGAGGAGTATAAAGGCAGTAGGAGAATATTTAAGAGGGAAATCAGGATGACAAATAGGGTTAAGGAGAATAAAAAAGGATTTTACAAATGCATTAAGGACAAAAGAATAACTACGGAGAGAGTAGAACCCCTTAAAGACCAACGAGGCCAACTATGTATGGAACTACTTCATGTCAGTAGTTACTGTGGAGATGGACATGGAAGCTAGGGAACTTGGGGAAATAAATAGCGATGTCTTGGAAAGTGTCCATATTATAGAATAGGAGGTGCTGGAGGTCTTTAAACGCATAAAAGTCGATAAAACCCTGGGATCTGATTGGGTATATCCTAGACCTTTGTGGGAAGCTAGGGAAGAGATTGCTGGAACCCTTGCTGAGATATTTTTATCATCGACAGCTACGGGTAAGGTGCCAGAGGACTGGAGGGTGGCTAATGTGGTGCCATTATTTAAGAAAAGTGGTAAGGAAAATCCAGGGGAACTATAGACCAGTGACCCTAATGTCAGTTGTGTGGGCAGGTTGTTGGAGGGGATTCTGAGGGACAGGATTCACATGCATTTGGAAAGACAAGCACTGATTAGGGATAGGAAACACAGTTTTGTGCATGGGAAATCATGTCTCACTAAGTTGGTTGAGTTTTTGAAGAGATGACAAAGAAGATTGATGAAGGCAGAATAGTAGATGTCTGTATGGATTTCAGCAAGGCATTCAACAGGGTTCTGCATGGTAGACTGGTGAGCAAGGTTAAATCAAATGGGACCCAGGAAAAGGTAGCCAACTGGATACAAAATTGGCTTGAAGGTAGGAGATAGAGGATGTTGGTAGAGGGTTATTTTTTGGACTGGAGGCCTGTGACCAGTGGTGTGCCGCACAGATCGGTGCTGGGTCCATTACTTTTCGCCATTTATACAAATGATTTGGATGTGAATATAGGAGGTATGGTTAGTAAGTTTACAAATGACACCAAAATTGGTGGTGTCGTGGACAGTGAAGAAGATTATCTCAGAGGATAACAGGTCTTTGATCAGATGGACCGGTGCGCCATGGCAGATGGGCCAATGGGCCAAGGAGTGGAAGATTGGAGTTTAATTTAGATAAATGCAAGGTGTTTGCATTTTGGGAAGGCAACCCAGGGCAGGACTTGTATAGTCAATGGCAGGACCCTGGGGAATGTTGCCGAACAAAGAGACCTAAGGGTGCAGGTGCATAGTTCCTTGAAAGTGGAGTCACAGGTGGGCAATTGGTGAAGAAGGCATTTGGCAAGCTTGCCTTCATTGGTTAGTGCATTGAGTATTGGAGTTGGGATGACATGTTGAGGCCGTACAGGACATTGGTGAGACCACTTTTAGAATATTGCTTTCAATTCTGGTCTTCCTGCTGTAGGAAGAATGTTGTGAAACTTAAAGGGGTTCAGAAAAGTTTTACAAAGATATTGCTGCAACTGCAGGGTTTGAGCTATAGGGAGAGGCTGAATAGGCTGGGGCTTTGTTCCCTGGAGCATCAGAGGCTGAGGGATAACCTTATAGCAGTTTATAAAATCATGAGGGGCTTTGATAGGGTGAATAGCCAAGGTCTTTTTCCTAGGGGAGGGGAGTCCAAAACTAGAGGGCATAAGTTTAAGATGAAAGGGGAAAGATTTAAAATGGACGTAAGGAACAATTTTTTCATGCGAAGGGTGGTGTATGTATGGAACGAGCTGCCAAAGGAGTTGGTGGAGATTGGTACAATTATACCATTTAAAAAAGCATTGTGATAGGTACATGAATAGGAAGGGTTTAGAAGGATATGGGCCAAATGCTGTCAAATGGGGCTAGATCAGTTTAGAATAGTTGGTTGACGCAGATGAGTTGGACCCAAGGGTCTGATTCTGTACTGTATAACTCTGTGATACAAAGTAAGGCTAATGCTGAGCATTTCAGTCATCTGTTCAGATAGGGCCTTCTATGGCAAAGAGTTCTCTAATGCCATTACTCTTAAAGTGATGAAGTTCCACCCTTCTTACCTTTTATTCCTAACATCCTATTTTCTCATATCCTTTGATACTTGAATCCAATCATCACACTGAATGCCAAACTTGAATCTGCTTTTAAAGAAACATATAGATAAGAAATTAACTTTGCACTGGTTCATTCCTACACATGCATATCCCTGAGCTAAACCCCTTATTTGTCTTTGGAATGATTTGATTTTTGTCTCCATTCTATCTGAACTTTTATTGCAGTGCTGAAAACCAAACAGTCCCAAAATCCTTCATCTTTTTTCATCACTCAAATGAATTTCTGAATTATTTTTGGGTCTTCTCAAGGTTATAAGACCCTTCTAATGATTGTAAATGTGATTGCCTTGTCTTTTGTACTGATATATAGACTGCCTCCATTATTGAAGGCGTGGAGCCTCCTCTTTAGTTGTCTCCCACTAATCATGACAGGTTGTGGCAAAACTGCAGAGTTTTGATCTTAGCTATAGTTTGATGGATCACTTAGCTGTAACACGCTGCTTCTGCTGTTTAGCATATCTGGTGCTGCTTCTGGAATGCCCTACTACACTACTACTAGGATAAGTCTCCTGGCTTGACGCTTATGGTAGAATTTGTGTCATTCCCATTCAATGTTGTAAGAGCAGTAGTTTGATTCCAACTGTATATATTTCATGTCAATTTGTAAGTTTGTGACATTGTCCATAATTTGCTTTGCATACTTGCAATGTCATTTTCCAGGTATTGTGATACAAATGTATCCTTGGGTTAAATTGCAAAACAGATATCATTCATATCTGAAAGGTATTGTACTCAAAGATAGCACAACACACTCAAAGCAGAAATACAAAAACGTGTTTAAATGCTCTGTTGCAAACCTCTTGCAGGAAGAGGTACAATATAGATAATTGATAGGCATTGCCTGGCAGCTGTTTCTTGTCATGTTTATGATCGAATACATTTACAGGAAATTTAAACCAGTCATGTCACAGAGCTTTTAGCTGTGCTGTTCTTCGTTCACATCCTTAACATTGCTATTACATACGCCATCTTGAAGAAGCTGGTAAAGATTGATGCAGTTCAATTCATGCTTCGGAATCACGCTGTAAGTGGCTTTTATTTGTCAGAGAATATTTTTATTAAAGAAAAATTGTCTTTCTAACCTATTGCAATTTATTCTTTTTTGGATGTCACACCATTATTTAGTTATAGAAGTTGAAGTATCACAAATATTTCTCCCATATCTATTAGGGTATGACCAGAGGTGCAAGATTAAAAACAGGCAAATTGTTTGCTCCTTTCTTTTTTGTGAAATTTGAGTACGTTTTATCACGTTTTGAAAGCTAACTATTTAACCCAGCTACTTGAAAGGGCCAGTCCGTTTCAGTTCTATAGTATTGACCAGCGTTTAAACTTGAATTGTACCAAGAACATATTTTCTAATCAATCTGTTCAGAAATGTTATTTCCCACCTCTGGAGCAGGTGGAACTTGAGCCTGGGCCTCCCTGTCCAGGGGGAGGGACACTGCCACTGCACCACAAGAAGGCCCTAAGCCACATGGTTTAGCCAGTGATTATAGAAATAGGCTTCAGTCTCCCCTTGTTTCAGGAGCAAATCAAATCAGCTGGGCCTATTAATCCTTTATTGAGAGTTCTTATGTGCAGGCATCAGCTAAGAACACAGCTAAACTCATTTCTGATGTCCTACACTGTCAAATAACCTACCTGACATACAGTCTGTGGACTCAAACATGCAGAAATGTGAGACACTAGAGAGCTGATGGCGCAAACGCCTTCAGAGATAAGTGTGAAAATTGAAGCCTTCCTCTACGGTATTGAAATGAGCGTACATAATGATTAATTGCATTTTCCTCGACTTCTCTTTTGGATCATTAGTGTGAACACTTTCCTTTCCTGGGCATCAATGAACATTTCCAACTTCATGATGCCGTTCTGAGATGCCGCACGACCTTCTATACAGCACTGACTCGCCTGCTTCTCATAGACTTGGGTAAGTCGGAAAAGTTCAGCTGTCACATTTGGAAAACGAACTATTTATCACAGTAGCTTGCCTCAGGCTTATACATGAAAATGGTTATTGTTAAAGACTTTTTCTGGGAGATTTTTTCTTTTTATTAACCCGCCCCTTCGATTCTTTTTAAAATTAAATTTACGAGTATATTGATGAAAATAATATCGTCCTAAAATATAATGTTCCAATTCCTTTTTGTTTAGAACATATTAAAGTGCAGATTTTGTAATTAAATAAATTGGATTGAGCTAAATTTTGAGCTGCTTCTACTATCACTTGTCAGTCATTCGCATAGTGCATGAGAGCATCATGTAATCTTTACTGGATTGCAGGGAAAAAAATTGATCACACTTTTTCAGAAATGTCTCCCTGAAGCCAGTCACTCTCAGTGGGCTACAAATATATGTTTCAGCAGCTATCAAAGTGGCCATTCAGGTGACTGTGGACAGTAGGCTTCAACCAACTATTCAACAAAAGAGGCTGTCACCACTGAACCCAAACAATGTTGTCACATGATAGTAATAGAACTGGTACACTAGCTTTTGTTTCCTCCCACATATCCAGTAACATTAAAATCAGGACAATGGTGTAAATATCAGCAAAATACTGTAGATGCTCGAGATTGGAAATAAAAACTGAAAGTGCTGGAGAAACTCAACAAGTCTGGTGGCATTTGTAGAAATAGAAATAGAGTCAACATAGAAAATATGAACAGGAGTAGGCCATTCAGCCTTTGAACCCGCTCCGCCCATCATTACGATCATAGTTGATCGTCCAATTCAGTACCCTGCTCCCTCTTTCGCCCCACACTCTTTGATCCCATTAACATTATAAACTATATTTGACTCCATCTGAAAAATATTCAATGCTTTGGCCTCAACTACTTTCTGTGGCAGAAAATTCCATAAGCTCACTACTTTCCGCATGACAGAATTGCTACTCACCTCAGTCCTAAGTGATCTACCCCATACCCTTAGACTGTGACGAGGTATGGATTCCCTGATCAATGGGACGTCCTCCCTCCACTTACCTTGTCTGGACCGGTTAGAATTTTTTAGGTTTCTATGTGATTGTTCTCCACACTGATCTACACCAGCACCCCAACCCCCACACCCACCCACAAGGGTCTCCCTGGGAGTGTTGTTGAACAGAGAGAAGAGAGACATAGGAGTTCAGTTACATAGTTCCTTAAAAAATCACAGTGGCATCACAGGTTGACTGGGTGATAAAGAAAGCACTTGGCTTGCTTCACTTGACTGGTCAGAGCATTGAGTGTAGGTTTTGGACATCACATTGCAGCTGCATGGAACATTGGTGGAACCATTTTTGGAGTACTGCGTATAGTTCTGCTCGTCCTTCTGTAGAAAAGGTGGTATTAAATTAGAAAGGGTGCAGAAAAGATTTACAAAGATGTTACTGGGACTGGAGGTTTTGAGTTATAAGGAGAGGCTGGGTTATGCTGAGACTGTTTTTCCCTGGAGCGCAGAAGGTTGAAGGGTGACCTTATAGAGGTTTATAAAAAAATAAAGGGCATAGGTCTTTTCCCCAGAGAATGGGAGTTCAAAGCTAGAGGGCATAGATTTTAGATGAGAAGAGAAAGATTTAAAAGGGATTTGAAGGGCAACTTTTTCACTCAAAGTGTGGTGCGTATATGCAATGAATTGCCAGAGGAAGTGGAAGATGTAGGTACTATTACAACATTAAAAAAAAAATTGGACAGATACGTGAATAGGAAAGCTTTAGAGGGATATGGGCCAAATGCAGGCAAATGCAGACTAGTTAAGTTTATGAAACCTGGTTGGCATGGACGAGTTAGACCAAAGGATGTGTTTCCATGCTGTATGACTCTATAACCAACTTTGTGTAGCAGCGTCACACAGCACGGAAACAGACCCTTAAGTCCAACCAGTCCACGCTGACCATAATTCCAAACTAAACTAGTCCCACCTGCCCGCATTTGGCTCTTATCCCTCCAAACATTTCTTATTCATGTACTTAGCTAAGTGTCTTTTGAACTTTGTGACTGTATCTACATCCACCATTTCCTCTGGAAAGTCATTCCACCCATGAATCACTCTCTGTGTAAAAATATTGCCCCTCTTTTCCTTTTTTTAAATCTCTCTCCTCTCACCTTTAAAATATGTCCCCAAATCATCAGCAAAATTGGAGATATTACGTTTGGTTCCCTCATCTAATTCATTAAAATACATTTTGAATAAGTCCAAACATTGACCTCTGTGGTACCACACTAGCCACTGGATGTCACTTGGAAAAGACCTGTTAATTCTTACTCCTGTCTGCCAGCCAGTTCCCTGTCCATGACATACACTACCCCCAATCCCATGCATTTTAGTTTTACATGCTAATCTCTTATTTGGGACCTTATCAAAAGTCTCCTGAATGTCTAAATAAAAACCGGGAGAACTGCAGATGCTGTAAATCAGGAACAAAAACAGAAGTTGCTGGAAGCTCAGCAGGTCTGGCAGCATCAGTGAAGAAAAAATCAGAGTTAACATTTTGGGTCCGGTGACCCTTCCTCAGAACTGATGGTAGCTGGGAGAATGACAGTATATATGGAGATAATAGGGAGGGGGGTTGGGGTAGGGACTGAATGATCGGATAGAGCCCGAAGAGAGAGAAGAGCAGTTGGATAGACAAAGGAGTTGATAATGATCTGACTAGGAAGGTGAATAGTTGTTAATGGAGACTGTTAGTGACTAACAATAGATAGTGTGTAATGGCAGGCTGTGATAACAAGACATGGGGTAGGGGCTGAGGACATGGGAGAGTTCAGGCCCTAAAATTATTGAACTCCATAGTGAGTCCGGAAAGTTGAAGAATCCCCAAGTGCAAAATGAGATGTTGTTCTTCCAGCTTGCATTGAGCTTCGCTAGAACACTGCAGCAAGCCAGAGACAGAGATGTTGGCCAGGGAGCAGGCTGGTGTGTTAAAGTGGCAGGCAACAGGTAGCTCAGGGTCTTTTTTGCAAGCAGAACATAGATGTTCTGCGAAGCGGTCACCCAGTCTACGCTTCATTTCCCCAATGTAGAGGAGACCACATTGTAAGCAGCGAATGCAGTAGACTAGATTCTTGAAAGTGCAGGTGAAGTGTTGCTTCACCTGGAAGATATGTTTAGACCCTTGGATAGTGGGGACGGAGGAGGTATTGGTAATGGCGGTGGACAGGGAAGCAGCACCGATGATATCATAGATATATCAGAGAAAGAGTTCTGGGTGGGGGCCGGAATAGGACTGGGCCTCAACAACTTCTCTTTTAACTCTTGTCATTTTCTTCAGGTCAGAGGGGTGGATATGTGTACCTGCATGTGTACCACAGTTATGCCTGTCTTTTTGTGGGGTACATGGAATATTCCTTGTTCCAGTCCTATTCCGGCCCCCACCCAACTCTTTCTCCGATATATCCATGATATCATTGGTGCTGCTTCCCTCTCTCGTCCGGAATTGGAAAAGTTAATCGATTTTGCTTCCACTTTCCACCCTGCCCTCACTTTTACCTGGTCTATCTCTGACTCCTCCCTTCCCTTCCTCGACATCTCTGTTTCCATTTCTGGGGATAGACTGGCCACTAATATGCACTATAAACCCACTGACTCCCACAGCTACCTGTATATACACCCTCACTCCCTGCCTCCTGTAAAGACTCCATCCCATTCTCCCAGTTCTTCCATCTCCGTCACATATATTCAGATGAGGCCAACTTTGACAAGGGAGCCTCCGAAATGTCCACCTCCTTCCTCAACCGAGGATTCTCCAGCACCATTGTTGACTGGGCCCTCAACCGGGTCCAACCCATCTCCCGTACTTCCACCGTCACCTCGTCTCTTCCCTCCTGCAACAGCGATAGAGTTTCCCTTGTCCTTACCTACCATCCCACCGGCATGCAGATCTGGAAGATCATCAGACACCATTTCTGCCACCTCCCGCAAGATGCCACCACCAGACACATATTCCCCTCCCCTCCTTTGTCCACCTTCCACAAGGACCGTTCTTTCCAAGACATCCTGGTCCACTCTTCCTTCACGCCCAACACCATCCACCACCCCCCCCCCCCCCCCCCCCCCCCCACCCCACCCCACCCCCAGCACCTTCCCCTGCAACTGGCGAAGGAACAACACCTGCCCATTTACCTCCTTCCTCCCTACTATCCAAGGGCCCAAACAAGAAGGGTCACCGAACCTGAAAGGTTAATTCTGATTTGTTTCTTCACAGATGATGCCAGACCTGCTGAGCTTCCAAAAACTTCTGTTTTTCTCCTGAATGTCTCTTTTTTTAAAAACCCATGTTCTGAGTTTCAGAACTGAGTTCCAAATAAGCACCATACTAGACTCGAAATGTTAACTGTTTCTCTCTCCACTGATGTGTCCAGACCTGCTTTACTTCTATTTCTCTAGCACTTTCCATTTTTCTATTTTTATTTTATTCGGGTAATTTTTGCTCTAGCTCAATTCAGACGCTCAACATGGTCAGCACTGGAATCTATTACTTTCTGATTGTGTAGAGTGGAAGTGACTTGTCATGTATAGAGAGCGTGAAATCAAAGGGTTTTGACCTCAAAGAGTACAGCGTGTGAAAAGAACGGGATTCTGGTCACATTCAGCATTATGTGTGAAAAGAAAGTTATCTAATTGTTAATTGTGCTTAATTTAATGCAAATAGTGGACATTAGCTGAAGATTCTCTTGTTCTCTTATACTTGTGCAAAATATGGGCAGAATGGACTGCTTTGTGCAATTTATTCAAAGTAATACAATGTAAATAAAATACTAGCCAGGTTAAAAACGTTGAGTTGCTGGAAGTGATAAGAAGAAGAAGAACAAATGCTGGAAATATGATTGAATTGTTGGAAATGTAGCTCTGTCAGATTGGTGACTAGGTGAAATGTTAATTTCTGTTTTCTGTCCCATGTACACTTTCAGCACATTAATAGGTAGAAGATATTTATTTTCAGCTCTTTGAAAT